CTACACACTGTACCATACACACACACCTACACACTGTACCACACACAGACACACAGACACACAGACACACACACACACACACACACACACACACACACACACACACATACACACAGATACACACACACACACACACACACACACACACACACACACACACAGACACACACACAGCTGCTTTGTCTCACATGAACAGATTTCCTGTTTGTCCAAACATTTATCAGAACTTGTTGGAGCTTCAACCTCTTCCACTGAAACACACACACACACACACACACACACACACACACACACACACACACACACACACACACACACACACACACACAGAGCATAATTGCATTGTGAAACCCTCTCAGGATTACACCCCCCCCCCCCCAAAGAGACAGTTCTAAGAACCGGAGTTCCTGGAACAGGCGAGGTGTGCAGATAGAGGAGGCGGATTGGAACAGGGCCATAATCCTCTTTAGCATCATTAGCATCATTAGCATCATTATATCATTATACAGTTACAGGAAAACATTCACTGCAATAACTCTGTTCAATTCCATTCAATTCAAAGGGGCTTTATTGGCATGAAAGTTAAATTAAACAATGTTGCCAAAGCATCACAATACAAAATAATTAACACCATTAACATACATTTTCAAATGTTTACATATTATTGATGATATACCACGCAACACTTTTGTTTTTGCTCCCATTTCTCATGAGATGAACTCAAAGATCTAAAAAAAAATTCTATATACACAAAATAACCATTTCTCTCAAATATTGTTCACAAATCTGAACAAATCTGTGATAGTGAGCACTTCTCCTTTGCCGAGATAATCCATCCCACCTCACAGGTGTGGCATATCTTGTATATATTTTGTATTGTGATGCTTTGGCAACATTGTTTAATTTTACTTTCATTCCAATAAAGCCCCTTTGAATTGAATGGAATCGAGTGGCCCATGGTGGTGGTGGGGTTATGGTATGTCTTAAGCTCTAATCACACTCTCACAGACTTTTCCGGTGTTTCTAAAGTAGATGACAATGTATGTGTGTCGCTTAAGAGGAAAAGATGCCTGGTTTTGTTGTTGTTATTACTGTCAGGAAATGTACAACCTAACCCTGGTCCGCCCAGTAGTAGTAGTCAGATCGCTACTCCTGCTGATTTTAAAGCTAGGTCTGGGTTGGGTTTCATCCACTTGAATGTGCGCAGTCTGTTAGGTAAACTAGATTGTGTCCGTATCTGGGCTCGACTGACGCTGACGTCATTGTTTTATCAGAAACATGGCTAAACAAATCTATTTTGGCCTCTGACATTGCCTTAAATGGTTATAATGTGTATCGTACCGACCGGCCTAATAAAGGTGGTGGCGTTGCCATTTATGTTAAGAATAAGTTCAGTGTATCCACATTAGTTTCCAAATCTATCAGTAAGCAATTTGAATGTTTAGCCTTAAATATAGAAGTGGCAAAGGGTCAACAGGTCATGGTGGTGGGCTGTTACAGACCCCCCTCAGCTGTCAAAGACTCCTTGTCTTCACTAGCAAATCTTTTATCACAACTAGACTACAAGGAAATAGTGCTACTTGGAGATTTTAACTGGGACTGGTTAACTGCAGTGTCAGAGGATTTTAAAAACCTTTGTATCTCTTTGAATGTTACTCAGATTGTTGACAGTCCTACTCGCCCTAACATTAAGTCCCCAAATAAATCCTCCCTAATTGATCTCATTCTAACTAATGTTCCCCATAAATACTCATCTGTGGGAGTATTTGCGAATGATCTGAGTGATCACTGTGTTGTAGCCACAATTAGGGACACTAAGGTCCAAAAGGTTAAACCTCGCATTATCATCAAGAGAGACATAAAACATTTTGTGGAGCAGGGTTTTGTTCATGATCTGTTTGATTTTGATTGGGGTAAAATCGATCTGTGTGCTGATGTAGAAACCGCATGGTCTTATTTTTATCTTGGTTGTATGGAGATCATTGATAGACATGCACCCCTGCGTACATTTAGAGTAAAGGGACGAGACAATCCTTGGTTCTCTGCTAACCTGTCCAGTCTCCTTCATGAGAGAAACAAGGCCTGGGCAAAGGCTAGGACATCAGGCTCAGAGGTAGGTAGAATGGCTGCGTTTTAGGCAGCTAAGGAATAGCTTCACTTCACATATCAAAAGTGCTAAATCTAAGTATTATCTGTCAGTAACCACAAAGAATCTGAATAATCCTGGAAAATGTTGGAAAGCCATTAAATTGTTATCCACCGGCGATATCCGTAATGAGCTACCTCCGTGCATTACCACAGCATCTGGCTCTATATCGGACAGGGCTACTATGCTAAATTGCTTTAATGAGCATGTTGTGTCCTGTGGTTCTCTATTTGATTCTGTCACTAACTCTGCTTCTGTGAACACTACAGTATGTGACTCTGAAAAACGTGTGTTGGAAAACCCTTTTAGTTTTAACCCTTTTACTGTTGATGTTGTTCGTGAAGCTTTAACCAAGTTAGATCCTAAGGAACCGGTCGGTCCGGACAACGTAGAACCTTTCTTTTTAAAGATAGCTGCAGATTGTATTGCTCCACCTCTCACTACTCTTTTTAACCTCTCCCTCAGCTCAAACACAATCCCAACAGTATGGAAGTCAGCGTATGTCCTGCCTTTGCTAAAAGGAGGGGAGGCCACCTTATTAAACAACTATAATCCAATCTCTAAGTTGTCAGTTCTGGCTAAGGTTCATGAACGCCTAGTGAGTGAACAGGTAAAGGAGTTTTTATGTATAAATGATATCCTGTCTAAACATCAGTCAGGCTTCAGAAAGCAACACAGCACCATCACTGCCACAATGAAAGTGGTGAATGATGTGGCGAGTATTTTAGATAATAAGCAGAGTTGTGCAGCTCTATTTATTGACCTGTCCAAAGCGTTTGACACCGTCGATCATCACATTTTAAAGCAGAGGCTACTCAGTATAGGTATGTCCAGCCATGCAGTGGGTGGTTTGTGAACTACCTCTCTGAAAGGTCCCAATGTGTTCACTTTGATGGGCTGTCTTCTGAGTGGTTGAACATTGCTAATGGTGTTCCTCAAGGCTCTGTTTTAGGTCCACTTTTATTCTCCATCTACATCAACAGTTTAGGTGAAATTGTAAATGAAGCTACTTTACATTTGTATGCGGATGATACCGTGATGTACTGTGCAGGTCCCTCCATTAAGGAGGCTGGTGTTAAATTACAGGCTGTTTTTAACATTATTCAGGCTCAGCTCTCTGAACTAAAGCTTCTTTTAAATGTTGATAAAACCAAAGTAATGCTCTTTTCTAAAGCTAAAAAGACACCAGAGCATGTTTTAGATATTGTAACTACGCAAGGAATAAAACTTGAAGTGGTTACCAGTTACAAATACCTAGGTATCTGGCTTGATGATTGTCTCACTTTTAAACTTCATGTCAATAACCTGCTTAAAAAGCTGAGGGTTAGGCTAGGTTTCTTCTACAGGAACAAGTCCTGTTTCTCGCTTGAAGCCAGGAAAAGGCTCTGTGACCTTTTGACCTGTGCTGGACTCTGGTGATCTGATGTATATGAATGCACCTGCTGCCAATTGCCTGGTCAAGTTAGATGCTGCGTATCACAGCGCACTGAGATGTGTGACAAACTGTAAAGCATTAACCCATCACTGTACCCTGTATGCAAGGGCTGGTTTGCTTTCACTAACTGTACGGAGGCTTAGTCACTGGTACATTTTCATTTACAAAGCCATGTTAGGGAAACTTCCATCTTATATCTGCTCCCTGATCTCACGGAGAATTATAAGTGGCTACTGCCTGAGATCGCATGCTGTGGTTTTATTAAATGTGCCAACTGCTAGGACTGTCTTAGGGAAGACAGCTTTTAGATGCGCAGCTCCTCTGTCTTGGAACAGTCTGCAAATTAAATGGAAACTGAGCAATCTGGTGCCACTAAATGTTTTTAAAGCTCGGTTGGATGCGACTCAATCGGAAGCTATAGGTACCTGTTTATGTGGATCATTATGTAAATGATGCTGTATGATGTCCTTTTGTTGTTCTATTTATGTTTTTATGTTTCATGTGGAACTACTTGAGCAGGTCTCCCTTGAAAAAGAGATCAATGATCTCAATGGGATTTATCTGTATAAATAAAGGTTTGAAATGAAATGATATGGGCAGGCGTATGTTATGGACGACGAATACAGGCCACTCGATTCACAACATTACCCTAACCCTACCCCTCACACCAGATACTGCCTGGTTTTCGGACCCCCCCAGACCCCCCCAATAAAGCAAAACTGCACGTTTCAGAGTGGCCTTTTATTGTGGCCAGCCTAAGGCACACCTGTGCAATAATCATGCTGTCTAATCAGCATCTTGATATGCCACACCTGTGAGGTGGGATGGATTATCTCGGCAAAGGAGAAGTGCTCACTATCACAGACTTTTTCAGATTTGTGAACAATATTTGAGAGAAATGGTTATTTTGTGTATATAGAAAATGTTTTAGATCTTTGAGTTCATCTCATGAAAAATGGGAGCAAAAACAAAAGTGTTGCGTTTATATTTTTGTTCAGTGTATATTAGCAGGTTCCATTCCCTACATGTAAACAATACACTAGAACCTATATTAGAACCTATAGAACTAATATGAGCAGAGGAACTAGAACCTAAAGAACTAATATGAGCAGAGGAACTAGAACCTAAAGAACTAATATGAGCAGAGGAACTAGAACCTAAATAACTAATATGAGCAGAGGAACTAGAACCTAAATAACTAATATGAGCAGAGGAACAAGAACCTAAAGAACTAATATGAGCAGAGGAACAAGAACCTAAAGAACTAATATGAGCAGAGGAACTAGAACCTATAGAACTAATATGAGCAGAGGAACTAGAACCTATAGAACTAATATGAGCAGAGGAACTAGAACCTATAGAACTAATATGAGCAGAGGAACTAGAACCTATAGGTACCTTTTAAAGAAGACGCATGTGATTTTACTGAAAACTTTATTAAAATTCATTTGGTTCAAAGTTTTGGTTTCATAGAAATGGGAAAACAGGGAATATAAAAAGAAGAATACAACTGGACTATATTGAGTCTGAAAACTAGAGATGCAGATCTGTCCTCCTGGTCCGTCATTGTAAACACCCACAATGCAACGGTGCAAAATCAAAATATGTGTCCTTTAATGACCTAATGACAGGTGGAGTAGATGGAGGTCTCTAGAACAGACAGGTGGAGTAGATGGAGGTCTCTAGAACAGACAGGTGGAGTAGATGGAGGTCTCTAGAACAGGCAGGTGGAGTAGATGGAGGTCTCTAGAACAGACAGGTGGAGTAGATGGAGGTCTCTAGAACAGACAGGTGGAGTAGATGGAGGTCTCTAGAACAGGCAGGTGGAGTAGATGGAGGTCTCTAGAACAGGCAGGTGATGTAGATGGAGGTCTCTATAACAGACAGGTGGAGTAGATGGAGGTCTCTAGAACAGACAGGTGGAGTATATGGAGGTATCTAGAACAGACAGGTGGAGTAGATGGAGGTCTCTAGAACAGGCAGGTGGAGTAGATGGAGGTCTCTAGAACAGGCAGGTGGAGTAGATGGAGGTCTCTTGAACAGACAGGTGGAGTAGATGGAGGTCTCTAGAACAGACAGGTGGAGTATATGGAGGTATCTAGAACAGACAGGTGGAGTAGATGGAGGTCTCTAGAACAGGCAGGTGGAGTAGATGGAGGTCTCTAGAATAGGCAGGTGGAGTAGATATAGGTCTCTAGAACAGGCAGGTGGAGTAGATGGAGGTCTCTAGAATAGGCAGGTGGAGTAGATATAGGTCTCTAGAACAGGCAGGTGGAGTGGATGGAGGTCTCTAGAACAGACAGGTGGAGTAGATGGAGGTCTCTAGAACAGGCAGGTGGAGTAGATGGAGGTCTCTAGAATAGGCAGGTGGAGTAGATATAGGTCTCTAGAACAGGCAGGTGGAGTAGATGGAGGTCTCTAGAACAGGCAGGTGGAGTAGATGGAGGTCTCTAGAACAGGTGGAATAGACAGAGGTCTCTAGAACAGGTGGAGTAGATGGAGGTCACTAGAACAGGTGGAGTAGATGGAGGTCTCTAGAACAGGTGGAGTAGATGGAGGTCACTAGAACAGGTGGAATAGACGGAGGTCTCTAGAACAGGTGGAGTAGATGGAGGTCTCTAGAACAGGTGGAGTAGATGGAGGTCTCCAGAACAGACAGGTGGAGTAGATGGAGGTCTCCCGATCAGACAGGTGGAGTAGATGGAGGTCTCTAGAACAGGCAGGTGGAGTATATAGAGGTCTTTTGGCTGATGTCCTGCAGCAGCTGCCTGACAGAGGCCTCCAGCTTCACCAGCTGCTCTGCTTTCAGGTCCAGAGAGCGCTGGTTGTCTTCGTACGACTTTTCCAGATCTGAGGGGACGAGACATGTAGAGAAATCAGTCTAACTGCTCCTGATCTACGTCAGACAGGCGGGTCTAACTGCTCCTGATCTACGTCAGAAAGGCGGTTCTCATACAAAACTTGCAAATACTGCACATATTTTATTATATTTATATTTCATCTAAATATTGCATCACAGTGATGATGTCACAGTGATGATGTCACCTTTGAGCAGCTGCAGTTTGTCTCCGGCCTTCAGCAGCAGCATCTTGGCTTCCTGCTGTAGAGACTCTGCCCTCTTCTTAGCGTCAGCCACGCCCCCTGCTTTCTGACCAATCAGCTGCTCCACTGTAGCGTACCTCTGCTTCAGCTCCGAGTCCAGGTCCTGACACACACACACACACAGTGTCAGCTCAGCAGAAGCTATAAACTATATTAAATGTTGTTGTATTAACGGTAGGACAGTGATCGCACCTTCTTAACACCCTCTGCAATCTTTCTGATGCTCGCTGCATCCTGATTGGTCCGTTCTGACTTGGCAGTGGTATTTACAGCTGTGTGTTTCAATAACGTCACATCCTGCTCCAGCCTCTGCAGCCTCTGGGTGGCGTTAGTGAGCTTCAGCTCCGCATCTGCCGTCTCCGACTCCACCTGAATGCAGCACACACATTTTAACTAATGTCACTGGAACAAATTCACCTTTCAACATGATGTCAGTGAAGTACACATGTCAACGTGATGTCAGTGAAGTACACATGTCAACGTGATGTCAGTGAAGTACACATGGGATGTGCGTGTACGTACGGAGGACAGCAGCTGATTGGTGCTCCTGATGTGGGCGTCGGCCTGTGTGATGGCTCTGCTGGCGGCGCTCTGAGCTCGCTGAGCTTCAGTCAGAACTCTCTGAACCTTCTCTGCAGAACCTTTAACATCAGCTGCTTCCTCGCTGCAGACAGGAAGTACCAATCATCAATAATAATAATAATAATAATAATAATAATAATAACAATAATAATAGAAGTAATAACAATAATATTAACAATAATAATAGACTTCTCTGTTTCAGTGTGTGTACTCTGAAATTGTGATTTTAAATCTCAAAACCGCTACAGTATCTGTCAGGCAGAAACTTGGGACAAGTCATTTGACTGAAACCTTAAAACTGAACTAACTGACTGCTAGGATTAACTTTGATTTAAACATTTGTAGAATACTAAGAGCTTTATTGAGTAGGTGTAACTGTATTAAGGGTTAAACTCATAACTTTATAACTTAGGGTTTAATGTAATTCTAAAACCATTGGGCCACTGAAAAGATACAATAGCAACTCAGGAGGGAGCCAGTCTAGATTTCCTTTTGAGGGCCACCAGCTGCAGAGAGTTAACTAATTAAAGGGACGTGGCCCCACAGCTGTGAGAACTCAGCAATCAGGTGTCCATTTTAGGTAGCACTTTCCTGGAGCGTCAGATTCAGCGTCAGACAGGCTAAGACTGGCAAAGACATTAGAGTCCTGCTGGAGTCAAAGACTGACAAAGACATTAGAGTCCTGCGGGAGTCAAAGACTGACAAAGACATTAGAGTCCTGCGGGAGTCACGAGGGAGGCAAAGAGGAGGCAAATCCTACTTTGATTGAGCTAAGTATCGCTGGTGTTCTATTTTATTTAGTTTTTTTTTTTTTTTTTTGCCCCTCATGCTATAATCATGTGTATTTTCTCCATTCCTGTTCATGTGTCTTCTCGCAATTATCACTGGCCCCGTGTATCTCCTAATCGCTATAACCGGCCTGCTCTCGTCTATCCCACATGCTCCACTGAGATCCAACATCTAGTTTCAGGTGGCCTGTGGAACTGCCAGTCAGCTGTTCCTAAGGCTGACTTCATCTCTGGCTACGCCTCCCTGCAGTCTCTGGATTTCCTTGCTCTCACTGAGACCTGGATTACTCCATCCAACACATCCACCCCAGCAGCTCTCTCCACAGCATATTCCTTCTCCCATACACCCAGACCCACTGGCAGAGGAGGTGGCACTGGTCTCCTGCTCTCTCCCAAATGGAGCTGTTCCCTCTTCAAGCTAACTAACTTCACTCCTTCCACCTTTGAATTCCATGCCTTCACAGTAACCCATCCTATACAATTAACCATTGTTGTTCTCTACCGTCCACCAGGCGCCTTGGGGGACTTCTTGGAGGAATTAGATCATCTCCTCTCACACATCCCTGAAACTGGTCTTCCCGCTGTACTTCTCGGAGACTTCAACCTCCAGATGGGGAAGATAGACGAACTAACATCTCTGTTAACCGCCTTTGCTTTCTCACTGTCTCCGTCCCCACCGACTCATAAAGCTGGCAATGTCCTTGAACTCATATTCTCAAGGAACTGCACTACTTCTAACCTCTCTGTAAACCCGCTCCACACATCCGATCACTTCTTCATTTCATTCTCTCTACCCCTTTCCAAACATAACAAACTAATCTCTTCTCATCCTGCACCTGTCCGCCGTAACCTTCGTTCCCTCTCCCCCTCTACCTTTGCCTCATCGGTGCTCTCAGCCCTCCCTTCCTCGGACTCGTTCCAACTACTACCTCCAAACTCTGCTGCAGAAACTCTCCTCTCTACTCTCTCATCCTCTCTAGACTCTCTCTGTCCTCTCACATCTCGGCAGGCTCGTCAGTCCCCTCCTGCTCCCTGGCTAAATGACGCACTAAGTACTAATAGAACCGTCCTTAGGGCAGCAGAGCGGAAACGGTGGAAATCCAAACACCATGACGACCTCCTAACTTATCAGGCTCTCCTCTCCTCTTTCTCTGCTTCCATCTCTCAGGCAAAAAGCACTTTCTTTCAAGATAAGATCCAATCTTCCTATTCCAATCCCAAAAAACTATTTTCCATCTTCTCCACCCTCTTGGACCCCCCCCAAAGCCCCTTCCCCTTCCTCCCTTCTGGAGCCCCCCAAAGCCCCTTCCCCCTCCTCCCTCTTGGAGCCCCCCAAAGCCCCTTCCCCCTCCTCCGTTCTGGAGCCCCCCAAAGCCCCTTCCCCCTCCTCCCTCTTGGACCCCCCCAAAGCCCCTTCCCTCTCCTCCCTTCTGGAGCCCCCCAAAGCCCATTCCCCCTCCACCCTCTTGGACCCCCCCAAAGCCCTTCCCCCTCCTCCCTTCTGGAGCCCCCCAAAGCCCCTTCCCCCTCCACCCTCTTGGACCCCCCCAAAGCCCCTTCACCCTCCACCCTCTTGGACCCCCCCAAAGCCCCTTCACCCTCCACCCTCTTGGACCCCCCAAAGCCCCTTCCCCCTCCTCCCTCTTGGACCCCCCCCAAAGCCCCTTCCCCCTCCTCCCTCTTGGACCCCCCCAAAGCCCCTTCCCCCTTCTGGACCCCCCCAAAGCCCCTTCCCCCTCCTCACTTCTGTCAAGCGACTTTGTTAACCACTTTTAAAAAATGGTTGATGATATTCGCTCTTCTTTTTCTGACTCACCTCTACTCACCGCTGGGTCACCAGACCCTCCTTCCACCAACACACTAACCTCCTTTTCCCCTCTCTCTCCAAGTGAGGTTCTTACCCTCATTACCTCTGCCCGCCCTACCACCTGTCCTCTGGACCCCATCCCTTCAAACCTCCTTCAGACTATCGCTCCTGATATTCTACCGTTTCTCACCCATTTCATCAACACTTCTCTAACTTCTGGTCACTTTCCAAACAGTCTCAAGGAGGCAAGAGTAAACCCTCTCCTAAAGAAACCCACTCTCAACCCGTCTGATGTTATAAACTACAGGCCTGTCTCTCTCCTCCCGTTCCTGTCTAAATCACTTGAACGCGCTGTCTTTAAACAACCCTCCTGTTATCTCAATCAGAACAACCTTCTGGATCCGCACCAGTCTGGTTTCAAGGCAGGTCACTCCACAGAAACTGCTCTCCTTGCTGTCACTGAGGAACTGCACACTGCTAAAGCAGCCTCCCTCTCCTCTGTCATCATCCTGTTGGACCTGTCTGCTGCATTCGACACGGTGAATCATCAGATCCTCCTTCGCACTCTCCAAGAACTTGGAGTTTCAGGCTCTGCACTTTCCCTCCTCACCTCATACCTCAAAGACCGCACCTATAGGGTTACTTGGAGAGGGTCCGAGTCCGACCCTTGTCAATTAACTGCAGGGGTCCCTCAGGGCTCTGTTCTTGGTCCCCTCTTCTTCTCCTTGTACACAAACTCGCTCGGATCAGTCATTAGCCCGCATGGTTTTTCATACCACTGCTACGCTGACGACACCCAATTAATTCTGTCCTTTCCCCGCTCAGAGACCCAGGTCGTCGCACGCATCTCTGCTTGTCTAGCTGACATCTCTCAGTGGATGTCTGCTCATCACCTCAAGCTCAACCTTGACAAGACTGAGCTGCTCTTCCTCCCGGGAAAAGATTGTCCCACTCTTGACCTAACAATCAACATTGGCACCTCTGTTGTTTCCCCGACTCAGACTGCAAGGAATCTGGGTGTGATCCTATAACAACCTGTCCTTCACTGCAAACATCGCTGCTACAACCCGCTGCTACAGATACACGCTTTACAACATCAGGAGGATACGTCCCCAGCTGACCCAGAAAGCCACACAGGTGCTGGTCCAGGCTCTCGTCATCTCACGCCTAGACTACTGCGACTCCCTCCTGGCTGGTCTACCTGTATGTGCCATCCGACCTCTGCAGCTCATCCAGAATGCAGCGGCTCGTCTGGTCTTCAACCTTCCTAAATGTTCCCACACCACGCCGCTCCTCCACTCCCTCCACTGGCTTCCGGCAACTGCTAGAATCCACTTCAAGACACTGGTACTTGCGTACCATGCTGTGAATGGATCTGGCCCTTCCTACATCCAGGACATGGTTAAACCGTACACCCCAGCACGTGCACTCCGCTCTGCATCAGCCAAACAGCTCGCTGCACCCTCGCTGCGAGGGGGACCCAAGTTCCCATCAGCAGAAACACGTGGGTTTGCTATTCTGGCTCCAAAATGGTGGAATGAGCTCCCCATTGACATCAGGAAAGCAGATAGCTTACACACCTTCCAGACTGAAAACTCATTTCTTTCGACTCCACTTAGAGCGATAGAATTACTAACAAAGCACTTATATACTAATAAAGGACTGGCTTATCTAAAGCCAGTTGAGTAGCACTTGAAATGTTTTTGCTCTATGAAGCCTGATGTACTTTATGATTCTGTTTTCTTCAAGGTTGTATTTTGTTGGTCGAACGCACTTATTGTAAGTCGCTTTGGATAAAAGCGTCAGCTAAATGTAATGTAATAATAATAACAACAATAATAATAATAACAGTAGTCCCACCTGGCGGTGCGGGCCCTCTCCAGCAGGTCCTCGGCTCTCTGGATGTCGGCGGTGCTCTGCTCCAGGATGTTCTCCACGGTTCCCAGTTCTCCCACCTTCTGACGGATCTCCTCGGTCAGGTTCTGCAGCTGAGCCGGCGTTGTGGGCATCTGCATCGCCAGAACCTCGTTGGCCACCAGCTCGATGCTCTGCAGGTCTGCTGAGTCCTCTAGAACCACAAACAGTCTCATCACGTTCCTGCTCACTAATGTTCTGTCAAACCCCGGAGATAAACAGACAATTCGAACAGAACCAAAGTTCAGTCGTGAGGAACAGGAAGTGAGACGTACGTGTGAGGAAGTCTCTGATCTGTCTGATGAGTCCTCTCAGCTCCTCGTTACTCTGCTGGACTTTCTGTTTGGTTCTGTTGGTCTTCATCAGAACGTCCTGCGCGCTCACCTTCGCCTCGTCAGCTTTCACCTTCGCCTCCAACACCTGAAGACCAGAAACACAGGTGAGAACATACATCATGGTTCACCTGTAAACTAGACACAGGTGAGAACATGGGCCACCTGTAGACCAGACACAGGTGAGAACCTACATCATGGTTCACCTGTAGACTAGACACAGGTGAGAACATGGGCCACCTGTAGACCAGACACAGGTGAGAACATGATGCTCCTGTAGACCAGACACAGGTGAGAACATGATGCTCCTGTAGACCAGACACAGATGAGAACATGATGCTCCTGTAGACCAGAAACAGGTGAGAACATGATGCTCCTGTAGACCAGACACAGGTGAGAACATGATGCTCATGTAGACCAGAAACAGGTGAAAACATGATGCTAACCTCGGGACCTGATGCTAACCCTATTACCATTATAGTCATCTACATGTGTTTTGCTGTTTGGTACAGGTACAGGTAAAGGTTGGGTACAGGTAAAGGTACAGGTAAAGATTGGGTACAGGTCAAGGTTGGGTACAGTTACAGGTAAAGGTTGGGTACAGGTAAAGGTTGGGTACAGGTCAAGGTTGGGTACAGGTACAGGTGAAGATTGGGTACAGGTACATGTTGGGTACAGGTACAGGTTGGGTACAGGTACAGGTCAAAGTAAAGGTTGGGTACAGGTAAAGGTTGGGTACAGGTCAAGTTTAGGTTAGGGTCAAGGTTGGGTGAGGTACAGGTAAAGGTAAAGGTTGGGTACAGGTACAGATACAGGTTGGGTACAGGTAAAGGTTGGTTACAGGTAAAGGTTGGGTCCAGGCACAGATACAGGTTGGGTACAGGTAAAGGTTGGGTACAGGTACAGATACAGGTTGGGTCCAGGTACAGATACAGGTTGGGTACAGGTACAGGTAAAGGTAAAGGTTGGGTACAGGTACAGGTAAAGGTTGGGTACATCCATCCATCCATCTTCTCCCGCTTATCCGTGGTCGGGTCACGGGGGTAGCAGTTCCAGCAGAGAGCCCCAAACTTTCTTTTCCCTGGCGACATCAAAGGTTGGGTCCAGGTACAGATACAGGTTGGGTACAGGTAAAGGTTGGGTACAGGTACAGGTGAAGGTTGGGTACAGGTAAAGGTTGGGTACAGGTACAGGTAAAGGTTGGGTACAGGTGCAGGTTGGGTAAAGGTTGGGTACAGGTAAAGGTTGGGTACAGGTACAGGTACAGGTTGGGTAAAGATAAAGGTAAAGGTTGGGTAAAGGTAAAGGTTGGGTACAGGTAAAGGTTGGGTCAAGGTACAGATACAGGTTGGGTACAGGTAAAGGTTGGGTCCAGGTACAGATACAGGTTGGGTCCAGGTACAGATACAGGTTGGGTACAGGTACAGGTAAAGGTAAAGGTTGGGTACAGGTACAGGTAAAGGTTGGGTACATCCATCCATCCATCTTCTCCCGCTTATCCGTGGTCGGGTCACGGGGGTAGCAGTTCCAGCAGAGAGCCCCAAACTTTCTTTTCCCTGGCGACATCAACCAGCTCTGACTGGGGGATCCCAAGGCGCTCCCAGGCCAGCCAAGAGATATAATCCCTCCACCTGGTCCTAGGTCTACCCCTTGGTCTCTTCCCAGCTGGACATGCCTGGAACACCTCCCTAGGGAGGCGCCCAGGTGGCATCCTAACTAGGTGCCCGAACCCCCTCAACTGGCTCCTTTCGACGCGAAGGAGGAGCGGCTCAACTCCGAGTCCCTCCCTGATGACCGAACTTCTCACCTTATCCCTAAGGGAGACACCAGCCACCCGGCGGAGAAAACCCATCTCGGCCGCTTGTATCCACCTTCATGGCCATAGGTGAGGGTAGGAACGAAAATGGCCCGGTAGACAGAGAGCTTTGCCTTCTGGCTCAGCTCCCTTTTCGTCACAACGGTGCGGTAAAGCGACTGCAGTACCGCTCCCGCTGCTCCGATTCTCCGGCCCATCTCACGCTCCATTGTTTCCTCACTCGAGAACAAGACCCCGAGATACTTGAACTCCTTCACTTGGGGTAAGGACTCATTCCCTACTTGGAGTGGACAGTCCATCGGTTTCCTGCTGAGAACCATGGCCTCAGATTTGGAGGTGCTGATCCTCATCCCAGCCGCTTCACACTCAGTTGCGAACCGATGCAGTGAGTGCTGAAGGTCGCAGACCGATGAAGCCATTAGAACCACATCATCTGCAAAAAGCAGTGGTGCAATCCTTAGTCCACCGAACTGCAGACCCCCTCCCCCATGACTACGCCTCGAAATCCGATCCATGTATATTACAAACAGGATTGGTGACAAAGCGCAGCCCTGGCGGAGGCCAACCCTCACCGGAAATGGGTCCGACTTACTGCCGAGGACCCGGACACAGCTCTCGCTTTGGGAGTACAGAGATTGGATGGCCCCGAGTAGAGACCCCCTCACCCCATACTCCCGCAGCACCTCCCACAGTAACTCCCTGGGAACTCGGTCATACGCCTTCTCCAAGTCTACAAAACACATGTAGACCGGATAAGCGTACTCCCAGGCCCCCTCCAGGATCCTTGCGAGAGTAAAAAGCTGATCCGTCGTTCCACGACCAGGACGGAATCCGCATTGTTCCTCCTCAATCTCAGGTTCGACAATCGGCCTGACCCTCCTTTCGAGTACCTTAGAGTAAACTTTCCCGGGGAGGCTGAGTAGTGTGATGCCTCTGTAATTGGCACAAACCCTCTGATCCCCCTTTTTAAAAAGGGGAACCACCACTCCGGTCTGCCACTCCTTCGGTACTGTTTCCGACTTCCACGCAACGTTGATGAGACGTGTCAACCATGACAGTCCCTCAACACCCAGAGCCTTCAGCATTTCCGGGCGGATCTCATCCACCCCCGGGGCTTTGCCACTGTGGAGTTGTTTGACGACCTCAGTGACCTCCCCCCGGGAGATTGGTGTTGATCCCCCGTCATACTCCAGCTCTGCCTCTAACATAGAAGGCGGAGTTGCCGGGTTCAGGAGTTCCTCAAAGTGTTCCTTCCAACACCCTAACACTCCATCAGTTGAGGTCAACAACGTCCCATCCTTACTGTACACAGCTTGGATGGTTCCCTGCTTCCCCCTCCTGAGGTGACGGACAGTTTTCCAGAACAACTTTGGTGCCGCCCGAAAGTCCTTCTCCATGTCTTCTCCGAACTTCTCCCACACCCGCTGCTTTGCCTCGGCCACGGATGAGGCTGCTGCCCTTCGGGCCTGTCGGTACCTTGCAACTGCCTCGGGAGTCCCCCGGGATAACAAATCCCTGAAGGCCTCCTTCTTCAGTCGGACGGCTTCCCTGACCACCGGTGTCCACCAGGAGGTTCGAGGGTTACCGCCCCTTGAGGCACATAGGACCTTGAGACCACAGCTCCCCGCCGCGGCTTCGGCAATAGAGGCTTTGAACACCGACCACTCTGGTTCAATGTCCCCAACCTCCACAGGAATGCCCGCCGGAGGTGTGAGTTGAAGGCCTCCTGAACTTGGGCCCCCTCCAGACGTTCCCAGTTCACCCGAACTACACGTTTGGGCTTACCAGATCTATCCAGAGGCTTCCCCCGCCACTCGACCCAACTCACCACCAGATGGTGATCAGTTGACAACTCCGCCCCTCTCTTTACCCGAGTGTCCAAAACATACGGCCTCAGGTCCGATGATACGATAACGAAATCGATCATGGACCTTCTGCCTAGGGTGCTCTGGTACCACGTACACTTATGAGCATCCTTATGTTCGAACATGGTGTTTGTTATGGCCAATCCATGACTAGCACAGAAGTCCAGTAACAAACCACCACTCCGGTTCAGATCAGGGGGGCCGTTCCTCCCAATCACGCCCCTCCAAGTGTCTCCATCATTGCCCACATGTGCGTTGAAGTCTCCCAGCAAGATTAAAGAGTCCCCTTCAGGAGCCCCATACAGGACTCTTTCCAGGGTCTCCAAGAAGGCCGTATACTCTGAACTGCTGTTGGGTGCATAAGCACACACAACAGTCAGAGTGTTCCCCCCCATAACCCGCAGGCGTAGGAAGGCGACCCTCTCGTCCACTGGGGTAAACTCCAACAACGAAGCACCTAACCGGGGACTTGTGAGTATCCCCACACCCGCCCGGCGCCTCACACCTTGAGCAACTCCGGAGAAGAATAGAGTCCAACCCCTATCCAGAAGTAAGTTTCCAGAGCCGACGCTGTGCGTAGAGGTGAGCCCAACCAGATCCAACTGGTAACGCTCCACCTCCCGCACAAGCTCCGGCTCCTTCCCCCCCAGAGAGGTGACGTTCCACGTCCCCAAAGCCAGCTTCTGTCGCCCGGGTCTGGTCCGTCGAGACCCTCCGCTTTCACTGCCACCCTTCTGGCAGCGCACCCGACCCCATCGCTGTTTCCCGTAGGTGGTGGGCCGCGGGACGGAGAAGCGGAGGTGTTGCCCACGTTGCCTTTTCGGGCTGGGCCCGGCAGGTTGGGTACAGGTGCAGGTAAAGTTTGGGTACAGGTAAAGGTTGGGTACAGGTAGTGATGGCAAAATGAAGCTTTGAATGAAGCATCGAACCACTTGGATAATTGTGTCGGAAATAGGTTCATTTCTCGAAGCTTCAGTTACAGCGACCTCTCCTGGCGAAGTGCAAGGCTGCAGTGGGTTTAACGTATCTTTGCCTTGAAAAATATTCGATGCACACACACACTAAGACTGAATATCATGTTCTATTTACAATTAAAGATTGATAATTGTGTGTATTGGGTTATTGAGAAGAGACTAGAGAGTGCTGGACATTTTTTTTGGAGGAGAGGGCCTTTTATCAGTTATTAAAGTTGAAAAGCAATGATTAAAATACATCCATCCCGGGCTTTGAACCAGCTGCGCGGAGGACATCGCCGCATTCGGGCCCCGGCTCTACCCACTGGGCTATCTATTGCTTGAAATATTTAACTGTTTTTATATTACTGATAATTGTCTTTTTGTTCACAACTTCTCCACATTTCAAAGTGTTTCCCAGAACGACCTATCTTTCTTCCTGGCTTGCTCTATAATGATATCAAATGCAATACCAACAACAACTCAACAGCAACAACGCAAACTACGACAACAACCCACACATTGCGCATTGTTTAGAGCGGTCATAAAGTGTTGAAGCGCTCAAATTCAAAACTGTTTCAACCTGTCACCTGTCAGAATCGAGACGAGGCAGTGCATTGAATCACGTGAATGGACCACGAACCAGTGAGTGATTCATTCAGGAAATGAAGCAGTTGCTGCTTCGGACGTCACATGTCACGTGATTTGAAGCAAGCTTCGAAGCACTGCTTCTATGGAATAGAAGAAGTCCAGGGTTGAAGCTCCGTTCGAAGCTTCAGTGTCAAACTGCCATCACTAGGTACAGGTACAGGTACAGGTACAGGTAAAGGTTGGGTACAGGTACAGGTAAAGGTTGGGTACAGGTAAAGGTAAAGGTTGGGTACAGGTACAGGTTGGGTACAGGTACAGGTTGGGTACAGGTAAAGGTAAAGGTTGGGTACAGGTTGGGTACAGGTACAGGTAAAGATTGGGTAAAGGTAAAGGTTGGGTACAGGTACAGGTTGGGTACAGGTTGCGTAAAGGTTGGGTACAGGTTGGGTACAGGTAAAGGTTGGGTAAAGGTTGGGTACAGGTACAGGTTGGGTACAGGTAAAGGTTGGGTAAAGGTTGGGTACAGGTTGGGTACAGGTAAAGGTTGGGTAAAGGTTGGGTACAGGTACAGGTTGGGTACAGGTAAAGGTTGGGTACAGGTACAGGTTGGGTACAGGTAAAGGTAAACACAACCCTCCAGCCTCACCATCTTGTTGAGTTTCGCCACTTCCTCCATGGTGCTGATGATTTCCTGCTCAGAGTCTCTGGTCTTCTTCCAGATGCTGTCAGCCATCGTCACGACACCTTCACACCCCTCTCCTCCACAGAGAGCCTGCCCCTCAGAGTCCAGACAGCCCAGAGCCCCGCAGCCAATGGGAGAGCAGGAGGACGGACTGCCGCACACCTGCAAACACCAGGGGGGGTTAATTAAAAATAACAACATGGAAACCATCTGCACAACATCCCTCTGTTCTCTGATTGGTCCATAATAAACAGCAGGTTACCTTGTGGCTGAGCTCTGATTGGTCAATAATAAACAGCAGGTTACCTTGTGGCTGAGCTCTGATTGGTCCAGAGTGTGCAGATCTCCTGCCAGGTCGTCCAGTCTCTGGTTCTGCTCAGTGTTTCTCCTCAGGAACTCGTCTCTGGTCTGGTTCAGTTTGTCCTCTGTGAGCTGCCGTAGTTTACTGGACGTTTCCACGGTGATGGAGGAGGCGTTGGCTCGGGCTTCAGCTTCCTGTGACCGCAGGAAGTACTTCGAGACGCTGTCTGTCGCCCCTAGCAACGGAAAGGAAGTAAACATCAGACCCACGCCCAATAACGGCTTAGTACTGCGTCATTGCAACACCCCCGACCCCCCCCCCCCCTCTGATGCCCCCCTCACCACTTTAAGCGTCTTTGAGCATTAGGAAAAGCGCTATAAATATCCAATGTATTATTATTACCTCTGATGTCAGAGTTCTTGATGAACTCCACCTGGTCCAGAAGGTCCTGAACGTTCCGCTCCAGTTTCTGAGCGTCTGCCGTCACAGAGTCCAGTTTAGTTTCGGCATCCGAGTCCTGAAGCAGGATCTGCTCCGTGTGGTTCAACTTGAGGCTCAGGGCCCCCATCAGGTCGCTGAGGGAGGGGTCAGAGGGTTAATCTCACCTGGTTACACTCCAGATTAAAGCTAGTCTCACCTGGTTAGACTGCAGATTAAAGATAGCCTCACCTGGTTAGACTGCAGATTAAAGCTAGTCTCACCTGGTTAGACTCCAGGTTAAAGCTAATCTCACCTGGTTACACTGCAGATTAAAAGCTAGTCTCACCTGGTTAGACTCCAGATTAAAGATAGCCTCACCTGGTTAGACTGCAGATTAAAGCTAGTCTTACCTGGTTAGACTCCAGGTTAAAGCTAATCTCACCTGGTTAGACTGCAGATTAAAGCTAGTCTCACCTGGTTACACTCCAGATTAAAAGCTAGTCTCACCTGGTTAGACTCCAGATTAAAGCTAGTCTCACCTGGTTAGACTCCTGATTAAAGCTAGTCTCACCTGGTTAGACTCCAGATTAAAGCTAGTCTCACCTTGTTAGACTCCAGGTTAAAGCTAATTTCACCTGGTTAGACTCCAGTCTAAAGCTAGTCTTACCTGGTTGGACTCCAGATTAAAGATGGTTTCACCTGGTTGGACTCCAGATTAAAACTAGTCTCACCTGGTTAGACTCCAGATTAAAGCTAGTCTCACCTGGTTAGACTCCAGATTAAAGCTAGTTTCACCTGGTTAGACTCCAGTCTAAAACTAGTTTCACCTGGTTAGACTCCAGATTAAAGCTAGTTTCATCTTGTTAGACTCCAGTCTAAAACTAGTTTCACCTGGTTAGACTCCAGATTAAAGATGGTTTCACCTGGTTAGACTCCAGATTAAAGCTAGTCTCACCTGGTTAGACTCTGCAGGTCACCCTTGAAAAAGAGATATTTTGATCTCAAGGGGCTTTCACCTGGTTAAATAAAGGCTACAAACAAACAGACTCCAGATTAAAGCTAGTCTCACCTGGTTAGACTCCAGTCTAAAGATAGTCTCACCTGGTTAGTCTCACCATGTTAGACTCCAGTCTAAAATTAGTCTCACTGGTTAGTCTCACCTGGTTGGACTCCAGATTAAAGCTAGTCCCACCTGGTTAGACTCCAGTCTAAATTAGTCTCACCATGTTAGACTCCAGTCTAAGTTAGTCTCACCTGGTTAGTCTCACCATGTTAGACTCCAGTCTAAGTTAATCTCACCTGGTTAGTCTCACCATGTTAGACTCCAGTCTAAGTTAGTCTCACCTGGTTAGTCTCACCATGTTAGACTCCAGTCTAAGTTAGTGTTACGTGCCGCAGTTGGTGCTTGTGTGTGTGTTTCTCTCTCTCTCCCTGATTGTCTCCAGGTGCAGCCTCTCCCCAGGTGCTCCCAATCCTCAATCAGAGCTTCCATAAAGGACCTGAGGAAGGCTGCAGTGGCGTCTCTCCTTCTCCTCTGGCTGCATGTGTGCAGCCTGTGTTACGTGCTGTAGTGTAGTGTCGCTGTGTGAGGCCTAGTTCAACTTGTTGGTGACAGGGCATTCAGTGTTGCGGCCCCCACCCTCTGGAATGCACTTCCTGCCGAGATCCGTAATGCTGCCTCCCTGGACATCTTCAAATCATCACTAAAAACACACCTGTTCACCCTGGCCTTCGGGCCCTAGCCCTTTTCTGGTCCCCCGGCTTCCTTTAGTTATTTCTTTGGTTTGCCCGTTGATTGTCTGTTTGTTTTGTTTGTCCACTATGTACAGCGACCTTGGGTCCCTTGAAAGGCGCTATATACATATCATTTATTATTATTATTATTATTATTAACCTGTGTTCTGCTCATTGTTAGGAGATGTGCTCCAGTGTGTCTTTGTGTATTGTTTTAGGTTAGTCACTTTCTTTTGAAAGAAAGTTGTCCTTAGTTAGTTTTTGTTTTGCAATTTGGCTGGTGAGCCTTTTTACTTTTTTATTAATTAAAACCTCACTTTGTGGCTTCAGCATTCAGGTTCCTCTCCTTTTTCTCTCGGCCGGTTATTTTGTGTGTTGTTACTTCCCTTTGTACCCCTAGATTTAGAAGGGAATGTAACAGTTAGTCTCAACTGGTTAGTCTCACCATGTTAGACTCCAGTCTAAGTTAGTCTCACCTGGTTAGTCTCACCATGTTAGACTCCAGTCTAAGTTAGTCTCAACTGGTTAGTCTCACCATGTTAGACTCCAGTCTAAGTTAGTCTCAACTGGTTAGTCTCACCATGTTAGACTCCAGTCTAAAGTTAGTCTCAACTGGTTAGTCTCACCATGTTAGACTCCAGTCTAAGTTAGTCTCAACTGGTTAGTCTCACCATGTTAGACTCCAGTCTAAAGTTAGTCTCAACTGGTTAGTCTCACCATGTTAGACTCCAGTCTAAGTTAGTCTCACCTGGTTAGTCTCACCATGTTAGACTCCAGTCTAAAGTTAGTCTCAACTGGTTAGTCTCACCATGTTAGACTCCAGTCTAAGTTAGTCTCACCTGGTTAGTCTCACCATGTTCGACTCCAGTCTAAGTTAGTCTCACCTGGTTAGTCTCACCATGTTAGACTCCAGTCTAAAGTTAGTCTCACCTGTTCTGTTGCAGCAGCGCCTGTATTTCGCTCAGAGGTTGCTCTGCAGGGTTCTGGTTCAGAAGGTTCTGGATGTCATTGATGCTTCTCTCCAGGATGTCGACGGACTTCCTGTATGGCCCAGTGACGCCGCTGGCCTTGATGGCGTTCACCTTGTTGACGAGGCGGTGCGTCTGATTGGTCAGCTGCCCGATGACCTCGTCCCACTCGGAGAAGCATTGGTGGCAGCGCTGGCAGTCGGGGAACGTTCCGGAGAATCCTCGAGCGCAGACATCACACCGAGGACCAGAAACACCGTCAGTACAGACGCAGTGACCGTTGCCCCGGTTACACTGAGGCTCGGAGACACCGCGGGGGTCACAGTCGCACGCTGAGGACACACAGGTTTACAATATTATATTTATATTGTATATGAAATGAAGCTGCAGACCAACATATTTTTATAATATTTTATCATATATCAAAAAATAAAAAAGCTTTAAAATCATCTGTATCATGTTGGGGTCAGGAAGTGATGAAGAGTTACACTGCAACACACACACACACACACACACACACACACAAACTGCAACACACACACACACACACACACACACTGCAACACACACACACCACATCAACCATGCAGCTTCCTCTGTGTGTGTGTGTGTGTGTGTGTGTGTGTGTGTTAAACATCTGGTTTGTATTCCAGTAAAACCAAAGAAAAGCTTCAATAAACATCTTTATCCTTAGAGGACCCTCACATCCTCTCTGTAACCCCCCCCCACCCCCCCCCCCCCCCCCCCCCCCCCCCCGGAGGTTCAGACTCATTGATTCCAGATGTTTCCGGAGGAGGACGTTCCCACAGTGAAGCATCGAACAGTGACTCAGCAGTTTCTACTTAATCTGAAGCTCATGTTTACTATCCTTCACTTCCTGTAGAGGTCAGTGTGAGTGGGGTTGCAGTCGGATAATCCAAAAATCAGCTCCTAAGTTCTAACCCTATCTCCTATCCCTTGACCTCTGAGTGAAAGGTCACAGGGTTAAGGGATAGTGGATAGGAGAATTCAAAAGGACTTAGGAGAAGAGACTGCGGTACTTTAGAGAATCGACTGCACTTTCACTTTCCGACGTGTTTCTGATGCGCCAGCGGACGTCCTGAATGTGCGTCTGCTGCTGTGGGGAAACTATGGAAACTACAGTTCTCTATACAGCGGACTACAACATGGATGTTCAATAAGAACGAGGGACTCCTGTGAACTCATCTAGAGACTCTGTGCTCTGATGCTGCTGCTTTATGCTTTATGAACGTGGACAACAGAGAAACATATTCTTCAGGACCAAAGCTGGAATTGAAATAAAAAGGAAAGTGAAGCTTCTGCTCGTCCCCCTCTCCCTCCGGTCCTCTTTAATACAAATGATCCCAATACGTATGATTGATGGAAAGATCTTAAATCAATACAGATGTATTTATTATAAACGTTAGTCCTTAACATCTATCTCTGTGTATATCACCATTCAAACATCTTTTAAAAGTTGAACAAACCCCACAGCTCAGTAAAGACTGTGAGATGTTGACTTTATTTGATCATTTCAGTAAAAACTAACGTTCATATTTCTCTCTTTGATTATAATACTGATGAACGTTCAGAACAAAGCACTTTGGCAACTTACCACATACGTTTTAAAAAGCTTAATAAGCACCGTAACTTTCATGATATCATTTCTCCGTCATAATCGGTTGTTTCCGTGAACGGCCGATTGTTGTGTGACGGCAAATGCTGCGGCTGCAATGCATTGTGGGGCAGCATTTTCTCCTCTCCTCTCGGTGAGGGAGGTCCAGTGGTTCCTAAGCTAAAGGAGGTTATAAAGGAAGCTTGAAACCTCCTTTCCTATCATCTAGAGCAGGGGTTTTCAAAGTGTGCGAAGGTGAGCCTCCCCTCAGAGAACATAAGAACAGCCGCGCCCCCCCTCCCAATTATTATTGCTATTATTGTTGTTGTTGTTGTTGTTGCTATAATGCAGGGGTCTTCAATTGCATTTCAAAGAGGTCCAGTTAGAGAACATGAAGACTGTTTCTCTCCTCCTGTCTCGTCTCTGTGTTTGAAGCTATCGTGCTGACTCACTGACTGCACCCATTTGATTGGCTGAGTAGCGTCACCTCCTTAAAACATGAAACAATAACTTTTTTAAACCTTTTTGTCTTTATGTTTTAAACGTATTGTATAAAACTCCCCCACTACTTGGACTATTCCTTGCACCCCTCTAGAATAAGCCCGAATGGTCTCAACCATATTGCATCAGTAATGTGCACTTGTTGTTATAACAAGATCTCAAGGACACTGGCAGCGATCGGACAATTGAGTGTTGTTCACTTTGTGTGTTGTGGAACATGCGTGTGCGTGCACGACAATATACCACACACCCAATTACAATTACATGTTCAATTCACTGCCCTGGAAGTTAATACAGTTGTTGAAGTTGGAGCAGCCTGTGGACAGCCGCTCTTCCTCGCATGTCAGTCGCCGACACCTTCTTACAGAGGACAGGCACATCTAGCTGCAGCACCACCCATACATTTTCGCACGCCGTGTTCTCAACACATATTTTTTTAACATTTTCAACATCGTGGATGAATCCTTATTTGCTCCCGGCAACACACTGAACGAAACTTTGCCTCCTCATTACACTCAGCCTACTTTAGTGGGAACAATGAGTCTGCGTCTTTGAAGCACACAGGAATAAACACAGATCCTCCTCTGGCTGCAGCCGACCGGCACTCACACAGGTGGGTGGAGGTGAAGGGAGTGAGCACTCACACAGGTGGGTGAAGGGAATGAGCACTCTCACAGGTGGGTGGAGGTGAAGGGAGTGAGCACTCACACAGGTGGGTGGAGGTGAAGGGAGTGAGCACTCACACAGGTGGGTGGAGGTGAAGGGAGTGAGCACTCACACAAGTGGGTGGAGGTGAAGGGAGTGAGCACTCACACAGGTGGGTGGAGGTGAAGGGAGTGAGCACTCTCACAGGTGGGTGGAGGTGAAGGGAGTGAGCACTCACACAGGTGGGTGGAGGTGAAGGGAATGAGCACTCACACAGGTGGGTGGAGGTGAAGGGAGTGAGCACTCACACAGGTGGGTGGAGGTGAAGGGAGTGAGCACTCTCACAGGTGGGTGGAGGTGAAGGGAGTGAGCACTCACACAGGTGGGTGGAGGTGAAGGAGTGAGCACTCTCCACAGGTGGTGGAGGTGAAGGGAATAAGCACTCTCACAGGTGGCTGGAGGTGAAGGGAGTGAGCACTCACACAGGTGGGTGGAGGTGAAGGGAATGAGCACTCTCACAGGTGGGTGGAGGGAGTGAGCACTCACACAGGTGGGTGGAGGTGAAGGGAATGAGCACTCACACAGGTGGGTGGAGGTGAAGGGAATGAGCACTCTCACAGGTGGGTGGAGGGAGTGAGCATACAGCCTTGTTGGCGAGGTGGGGGAACTCGGTTTCCACAGACAGCCAAAAGTGTGCCAGAGACGTTTTACTGGTCTTTTCTCACGCTGCGCCTCCCCTGAAGCTCTCTGGCGCCCCCCTCCCCTGAAGCTCTCTGGCGCCCCCCCTCCCCTGAAGCTCTCTGGCGCCCCCTCCCCTGAAGCTCTCTGGCGCCCCCTCCCCTGAAGCTCTCTGGCGCCCCCCTCCCCTGAAGCTCTCTGGCACCCCCCAGGGGAGGCGCGCCTCACACTTTGAAAACCGCTAATCTAGAGAACCGGCTCTTATCATGGCTGCCACTGACGTACTTCCGGGTCATTTCACTCCGTCAGGAAGGTTCCTGAGAGAAATGGACTCTTCGACTGCAACCTTGGTATCTCACTTCCTGTCGAGTGAACGTACCGTGACATGTGACCTCGGGTTCTCCCCAGAACATCTCTCTGCACTCGCTGCAGGTTCTCCCTCCGAATCCTGGCCGACAGGAACACTGTCCGCTGACCTGAGACAAGAGGATGGGGGGGGGGTATTCAGATCTGGTACTTGAGTAAAAGTAGAAGTACTCAGATCTTGAGTAAAAGTAGAAGTACTCAGATCTTGTTCTTGAGTAAAAGTAGAAGTACTCAGATCTTGAGTAAAAGTAGAAGTACTCAGATCTTGTACTAGAGTAACAGTAGAAGTACCAGAGTGTAGGAATACTCTGTTACAGTAAAAGTCCTTCATTCAAAATGTTCCTCAAGTGAAAGTAGAAAAGTATTGTCATCAAAATATAATTGAGGTAGCGACAGTAAAAGTAGTGATTGGGCAGATATTTCACATCATTCATACGTAAAGTAATTAAAGGTATAAATACATGTAGTGGAGTAGAAGTACACAGTAGCTTCATTGTACAGTTTAAAGGTGTGTTGGGGTACCTCGTTGCAGGACGTCCCGTACGTGTGTTGGGGGTTGCAAGCGCAGGCCTCACAGCCGCGCCCGCTGCCCAGGTTCCAGCTGTCCGCCTCGCAGCGGTCGCACTGTTGCCCGGCAACCAGAGGGAGGCAGGGGCACCGCCCACTCACAGCGTCACACACACACTCTGAGGAGGAGCCACAGCTTGAGGGGTCGCTGCCCAGCCGGTCACACACACACTCTGAGGAGACACACACAGTAACACACCGTCACACACACTCTGAGGAGACACACACAGTAACACACCGTCACACACACACTCTGAGGAGACACACACAGTAACACACCGTCACACACACACAGTAACACACCGTCTCACACACACTCTGAGGAGACACACAGAGTAACACACCGTCACACACACTCTGAGGAGACACACACAGTAAACACACCCGTCTCACACACACTCTGAGGAGACACACACAGTAACACACCGTCTCACACACACTCTGAGGAGACACACAGATGTAACAACACCGTCACACACCCTGAGGAGACACACACAGTAACACACCGTCACACACACACTCTGAGGAGACACACACAGTAACACACCGTCACACAAACACAGTAACACACTGTCACACACACTCTCTGAGGAGACACACACAATAACACACCGTCACACACACTCTGAGGAGACACACAGTAACACACCATCACACACACTCTGAGGAGACACACACAGTAACACACCATCACACACACACTCTGAGGAGACACACACAGTAACACACCATCACACACACACTCTGAGGAGACACACACAGTAACACACCATCACACACACACAGTAACACACCGTCACACACACTCTGAGGACACACACAGTAACACACCGTCACCCACACATGTGTTTTGTTGCATTGTGTTGAATGGTATAGTATGGTGTTGCACAGTGTTGTAATGTGTTGCATGGCGTTGCCACGGTGACAGAGTACTCACTCCTGCAGTCCTGCAGCAGGGCGTTGCCGTAGTAACCGGGGCTGCAGTGCTCGCAGGCGTTGCCCTGGCTGTGGAACCTGCAGCGCAGACAGCGCCCGCTCTGAGGGTCGCAGGCCTCGGGGTCCAGCAGGTCGATGTTGCTGTTGCACCGGCAGGGCGCACACTGCCCCCCCGCCTCCCCGGGGTTACCATAGTAACCAGGGGAGCACTCGTCACAGCGAGCGCCTGCAGAGACACAGAGATCAATATATCAGAATCAAAGTCAGAATCAGAGTCAGAATCAGATCAGAATCAGAATCAATACAGAATCAGAGTCAGAGTCATATTCAGAGTCAGAATCAGAGTCAGAGTCATATTCAGAGTCATAATCGGAGTCATAATCAGAGTCAGAATCAGAGTCAGAATCAGAGTCAGAGTCAGAATCAGAGTCAGAACCAGAATCAGAGTCAGAACCAGAATCAGAGTCAAATACAGAGTCAAATACAGAGTCAGAATCAGAGTCAGAATCAGAGTCAGAATCAGAATCAGAGTGAAATACAGAGTCAGAGTGAGAATCAGAATCAGAGTCAAATACAGAGTCAAAATCAGAGTCAGAATCGGAATCAGAGTCAAATACAGAGTCAGAATCAGAGTCAGAGTCAAATACAGAGTCAGAGTCAGAATCAGAGTCATAATCAGAGTCATAATCAGAGTCAGAATCAGAGTCATAATCAGAGTCAAATACAGAGTCAGAGTCAGAATTAGAGTCGGAATCAGAGTCAAATACAGAGTCAGAGTCAGAATCAGAGTCAAATACAGAGTCAGAATCAGAGTCAGAGTCAAATACAGAGTCAGAGTCAGAATCAGAGTCATAATCAGAGTCATAATCAGAGTCAGAATCAGAATCAGAGTCATAATCCGAGTCAAATACAGAGTCAGAGTCAGAATTAGAGTCGGAATCAGAGTCAAATACAGAGTCAGAATCAGAGTCAGAATCAGAGTCAAATACAGAGTCGGAATCAGAGTCAGAGTCAAATACAGAGTGAGAATCAGAGTCCGAATTAGAGTCGGAATCAGAGTCAAATACAGAGTCAGAATCAGAGTCAGAGTCAGAATCAGAGTCAAATACAGAGTCAGAATCAGAGTCAGAGTCAAATACAGAGTGACAATCAGAGTCCGAATTAGAGTCGGAATCAGAGTCAAATACAGAGTCAGAGTGAGAATCAGAGTGAGATTCAGAGTCAGAGTCAGAATCAGAGTCAGAATCAAATACAGAGTCAGAATCAGAGTCAGAATCAGAGTCAGAATCAGAGTGAGATTCAGAGTCAGAGTGAGAATCAGAGTCAGAGTCAAATACAGAGTCAGAATCAGAGTCAGAATCAGAATCAGAGTGAAATACAGAGTCAGAGTGAGAATCAGAGTCAGAGTCAAATACAGAGTCAGAATCAGAGTCAGAATCAGAGTCAAATACAGAGTCAGAATCAGAGTTAGAATCAGAGTCAGAGTCAGAATCAGAGTCAAAATCAGAGTCAGAGTCAGAATCAGAGTGAAATACAGAGTCAAATCAGAGTCAGAGTCAGAATCAGAGTCAGAGTCAAATACAGAGTCAGAATCAGAACCAGAATTGGAGTCAGAATCACATCAGAATCAGAGTCAGAGTCAGAATCAGAGTCAGAATCAGAGTCAGAATCAGAGTCAGAGTCAGAATCAGAGTCAGAGTCAGAATCAGAGTCAGAATCAGAGTCAGAATCAGAGTCAGAGTCAGAATCATATACGGAGTCAGAATCAGAGTCAGAATCAGAGTCAAATACAGAGTCAGAATCAGAATCAGAGTCAGAATCAGAGTCAAATACAGAGTCAGAATCAGAGTCAGAATCAGAGTCAGAATCAGAGTCAGAGTCAGAATCAGAGTCAAATACAGAGTCAGAATCAGAATCAGAGTCAAATACAGAGTCAGAATCAGAGTCAAATACAGAGTCAGAATCAGAGTCAGAGTCAGAATCAGAGTCAAATACAGAGTCAGAATCAGAGTCAGAATCAGAGTCAGAATCAGAGTCAGAGTCAGAATCAGAGTCAAATACAGAGTCAGAATCAGAGTCAGAGTCAGAATCAGAGTCAGAACCAGAGTCAGAGTCATAACCTGTATCCGTCCCACAGTGGGGAAATGCACATTGTTACAGCAGAAAAAGAGCCACAGAGCTTAATGTTAACTAAGAAGCATAAAAAAGTATTAAAGATACAATTATAAAAAAAAAATGTTGCAACAATTTACAAAAAACACATCCTGTACCAGTTCTGAGGATTTTGCAGCCAGGTATGCATTACACAGTTATTAACGGCATATATATGCCGTTAATAACTGTGTAATAGTTGTTGTTAACCACCAACTATGTGCAATATATATATATATATATATTGCACATAGTTGGTGGTTAACAACAGGGGGTGTTATAGTCTGTGTTATTGTGTGTGTGTGTGTGTGTTGTGTGTGTGTGTGTGGTGTGTGTGTGTGTGTGGGGGGGGGGGGGGGGGGGGGGGGGCGTGGTGGTTATATAGTCTGATATATATCTATAAACATATGTTTCTAAAGACCCTCCAGGCTCCTGTTTTTACCTTCTCTGTTTTACTGGGGCTTTAAATACTGTCAGCCAATCAGAAAGCAGCGTAGTTTGTTCGCTAACACCCTCAGGAGATAGAGTTTAATTCAATAATAACAGAGTCATCACATTCCTGTCTCCCTCTGTCTGTCCCCCCCCCCCCCCCTCCCCCAGGCATGGAAACTCTTAGCTTCCTGCTGAGAGCCTGTAATCATCTCTCAGGTACACCTGGGAAACATCAGCAGTCACACTATGGCCCTTTCTCATTTCACTAATTTCTCCTCCTCGACTCCTCGACTCCTCGACTCCTCGGTCCTCCGGTAGTGACCAGGAAATGGATTTCAGCGCGCCATGTTGAAGGACATCTCATTTCTCTAAATGCACTTCGAGGACAGAGGAGGCTCTCTCGAGGAGCTCTGACCGAGGAGAGAGGAGGCTCTCTGGAGGAGCTATAATCGAGGAGAGAGGAGAGAGGAGGCTCTCTGGAGGAGCTATAATCGAGGAGAGAGGAGAGAGGAGGCTCTCTGGAGGAGCTATAATCGAGGAGAGAGGAGAGAGGAGAGAGGAGAGAGGAGAGAGGAGGCTCTCTGGAGGAGCTATAATCGAGGAGAGAGGAGAGAGGAGGCTCTCTGGAGGAGCTATAATCGAGGATACACTGATGGGTCCTCCACGGCTCCTCCGCGGATGCATTTCCGCAAACAGTGATGTTTCAAAGAGTCGTGACGCACGGCCGGACTGATCTCAGCCAATGACAGCTGATGTGTAAGTGTATGTGTGTGTGTGTGTGTGTGTGTGTGTGTGTGTGTGTGTGTGTGTGTGTGTGTGTGTGTGTGTGTGTATGTGTGTCCGCATCTGTAGCCTGTTATTGTCTCATTATACTGCACTGTGAATGAATCAAAGTAAATATATAAGTGGTCATGAACACATCTGTCCATCAGACAGAGGGCTGCTGCCTCCTGTCATGATTAAAGGGAGGGAATGCTCATGACACGCATTTTTAAATAATTATCATCCGATAAAACAGACCAGTCTCTGCCAGTCTTTCTTTTTTTATCGTTATCAGTGATTTTAAACTGATTAATTACCGAAATAACATCAACCCTGTGGGCGGCGCCATTTTGACGAGTCACATGACTTATTTTACCGGAAGTGACGTAAACTTTGCATTTGGTGTTGAGGACAAATTGACGTATGTGCTTTGTTCATGTTGTTTACTCTAGTTACTCTCACAATTCTATTGAAATATGCCTCATTGTATCGCGAAACATTGCCACAATTGGGATAGGAACAATCCACGGAATGCTCGGTTCCATCTATTGCCAACGGGTAAGCGTAGGAAGTACGTTCGGAGGCAGTGGCTAGCGAAATGTGCTCGGCCCGAACCGAAAGATCCACAGGCGCATGTATGCAGCGAACATTTCAAGTTTCCGGACGACTACTCTGAGAGTATGGTGAAACATAAAATGGGATTTATTAATCAACCATTACTTAATGGGGATGCAGTGCACTGCCAATGCCAGCCAGCGTAAGGACATTACTCAGCAGACTTTACTTATTGTTTACTACGTAAGGAAGCAGGAATTGCAGGACCCAGAGCGCACGGAGCACGGAGCGGACAGCAGATAACGGAATTGCAGTTTTATTGCTTATAGATGATCAGAACATTTCAAAGGGGACACAGCCACATTGGATATTAACCTATGGATTAACTACATCATCGTTTTTATCGTTGTAATGCCATTGAAGACCAGACAAAGACCAAGGTAAGCCATGTTAGCCTAGCGCATGTTAGTACCTAAAGCCACTTGTCTTGTTTTGATGTACGTTTTTGTTCATAACGTCGCGAGTTTGTATCTTTCAGTGTTGAGGTGGGCACCGTTAGATTCTGTGTCTTTACGATCATAAACGATGTGTTGGATGTGCAGCTAGGATAAGTAATAAGGGAGCTAGGAGTGATTTTCGGTGCAGTAATAGGTTAGCATTTTTCGCTCGGGGCTAATTCAGAGGCTCACTGTTAGCATTGTGTGTTTTTTTTAAAGAAAAAAATGAAAAAGATCAGTTAAATTAGTTTTTTTTCCCGTTATATGGATATAAAATATTCATAGTTTATTAAATATTAAGGTTCCTTAGACGTTGTTTCCTGCAAATGACACGATTTGGAACTAAGAGGATAACAGAGTATGTTTTTTATTTTGTTTACAGTTGTATTTGGATGGAATTAATACCTATAGTGATAATTCAAAGTAAGTCCGCCTGGACTTTATTTTTCTAAACTTCTTCCTCGGCTGACGAGTCCGAACTCAAATACTCCGCCATGTTTTCGTCGAATGAGTGGTTCGTGTGTTTACAAAGGTGAACGCATAGATGACGTCACGACCTAGTTTTTTTCGGACCATGTGACTACTGAAAATGGCCAAAATGGCAGCTGCCTGACGGAATATACAGGTTTTGATAAAAAAGAGCTATAAAATCATTATTTACCGGGGAATATCGCTGATTTCTTCAGGGTATGGTTTAAACATATTGTTTCACTAAATACTGAAGTTTTTTAAAAAAATATCTAATGACTGGAGCCTTCCTTTAATGGACGTTTCTTTAAAATGACCGCTCAGAGGAGAGGAGTTATCATTTCTCTAACCGCCTGCTGCT